GGGATGAGAAGATATCTCATAGTTGTTTTGTGGAGACGATTTTCTAATGCAGGTGGGACAGACTCAAGGTTGTATTTTGGTTTTGTGGATTTGTTTTCATTTTCTTCAGCTTCAGCTTGAACTTACACAGGAGTAAACCTTATATAAATCAAAGTTGGTTTCCTGACTCATAAACAGCAACCCTCTGAGGCTATAAATCTTACTGGAAGGAGATTACCCATCTTTATGCTAAGCAACCGCTTGTAATTTGACTGTCAGAGATGTGGCCTTTGGTTAGTATCACAACTTCCTATGGACCATGCCACTAGACTTCTTCTGTCTTACATAAATGTTAGGTGCCATCAAATCAACTATGGCTGATTGCAAGTTTATGAACAACAGATGGAAACCTTGCCCTGTTCTGTGCCATCCTTGTAACAAGCACGGCAGTGTGAGAATATCTTCCTTACCATAATTGAGATTTAAATTTGTAAGGGCTGCTGCGTTGCCATCCCAAAGACATGTGGTTTGAATCCACCAGCTGCTCTGCAGGAGAAAGATGGGCAGTCTCCTCCCATGTGGTTTCCTGGCTCTGAAAACCCACTGGAAGATCAGCTATGGGTCTGTTCTGACTCAACAGTATGTAATAACAAATGATGCTTTAGCATTCACTGACACAACATACTTATAAATTATGTCAGTGAATACTTATGTATATATTTTTCTATATTCACATACACATTTTTCAGGTCAATTATTTTTTTAGTTTATATTCAGAGCAATGTTTCCTTCAGTTGTACACAAGGGGTCTCAGACAACTTGAAGCCGCTAACAATTCAAAACTCAGGATTTTCTGTTAGATTCCAGCGTATAGTATATTGTGATTATGTAAAGGGGGATCATCCCATGATTTTCTCCTATGAAGCCTTTTAGGCTGAAAAAAATATCAATTATGAAAAACCTTTACATTTTTCCCCTTAAAAATTTTTCTTTGCAAACCTGGGTTATTATAAGCATGTGCCTATTATTATTCACCAGTAAATATGGTATCTTGCTGGGCTATTGTGAAGAATTCAGTGAAACCAGGCAGGAAACTCCTTTTTCATAGTACCTCAAGCACTACCTGTTCCATTAGAGCCCTGTGAAGTTTATCTTTCTTTTCTAAAGAAATTTTTTTTTATAAAAATTTGTATTTAGACTCAGTTTAGATGATCCCAATTTTGTTGGCAACACCCAAAGCATCATAGTCAGGAGCAAGTTGAACATAGGCCTTCTTCTCTCCATCAGGCCTGATCAAGGTATTGACCTTGGCCACATCAGTGTCATAGAGCTTCTTTACAGCTTGTTTAATTTGGTATTGTTAGTTATTTTTTTTTCCCGCCGACCCCCTCCCCTGTTTGTTATTTTCTTATTTTTCTTTGTGTACCATCAAATCGGATCTGACTGCTACAAGAGGATATTGTCTCTCCTTCTCCAGCAGAGCATATGGGGGATTTGGACTGGCACCTCTGGGATTGTAGTGCAGCTTCCTGCCACTAGGCCACCAGAGCTCCTTTGAAGTTTATCTTTCAATATGACATTCCTAGCCATTGAATCTGACTTGACCATGTGAATAGGGCCTGTTAGTCTATCCACAAGGGGATTGGCCAGTCTTATCAATCTACAAGGGAATTGGCTAAGTTCACCAATAAACTGAGAGGCTCCAGAAGCAGATTAGACCTACCCCACCAACAAAGAAGAGATGAAGAGGCAAGAGAATGACCAGGTATTTTTGCTCCAGCTACACCTATGGCAACAGCAGCCATAAGAGAGGACCAGAAAGACTTAACATGACACAGAGTTGACTGGTAACTCCTCCATGGACAGAGCTAAGCTAAGGGCCTTTGCCTAAGTTTGTTGGACTAGGGGGTGGGGAAGCCAGTATTGGCAGGACTGAAAACTTTGTAACACTGGTCTAAAGCCCTGAGGCTCACAGCTGAGGTGCCGTGAGCACATTCTGGAAGCCATCCTGAGTGTATCCTATTACTAACCTGGATTGTAACATGTTGACTTCCCCAAAGTGGTTCTGTGTGGTCTGTGAAGTATTGCATCAGATTTCAGATCCAGCAAAGCAGCAAGAATGGTGTTGAGATGAACTTATAAGAAAGAGGTTCAGGATGGTGGGGGACATATCTTACCTCATGGAAATTCATTCTGTGTTATTGATGCTGACAGGGACAGTTCCCCTTTGTAAAGCTGATAAAGATCAGATATGGCTTTCCCCACATGGTCCTTGCTCTTTTTACAAGCCTGCAGTCCTGATGAAGACCTGGGCTCTGATTCTACCTTTGGAAAAGGTAGTCTCCTCAGCCTGTTGGTTAATTTGAATTTGAGGTTACTTTCATATATATATATATATAAGATTATATGTAGATAGATATAGATGATGGATAGATGATAGATAGATCGATGTCTTTGAGTTGTGATGCTGGAGAAGAATATTGAACTTGTTATGGACTGCCAGGAGAATAAACAAGTCTTCAGAGAGAAAAATAAAAAAGACTAAGTGTGCCTGACTCACAAAAAACAAAACAAAACAATCAAATCTGTCTTAGAGATGGTGAAACCACGCTGCTCCCTGTAGGCAAGGATTCTGAAGCTCTGCCTCACATACTTTGGACATATGGCCAGGAGGGATCAGCCCTTGGAGAAGGACATCTTGCTTAGAAAGGTGGACGGACAGCAAAGGAGAGGAAAACCCAGGATGAGATGGATTGACTCAGTGACTAGAGAAATGGGATTAGATCTATTGGAGACGGTGAGATTGGCTCAGGATAGGACAGGATTCAGAGCTAATGTGCATTGGGTCATGATGAGTCACAGGCAAGTCAATGGCACTTAACAACAACAATAAATTACACACACACACTCCACACACACACACACACACACACACACACACCATGGCATTACCTCCAAGATACACTGTTAAGTTTGTGAAAAATAACATCTAAAATGCATTGTTAAAGGAGAGAATGAAATGTTAAAAGGAGCAAATCATATCGAACAATATGTATAAAATGTCCCCGTTGGCACAGAAAAGTATAGAGATATTCCAACATCTGTATGGGAAATTTCCAGTGTCATCTCCAGATGAGATCAGAGAAGCTCCTCTCTGACATCATTTTTCAGCACCGTTTAGTTCTTTTCCAGTGGGCATGCGCTAGCTTTAATCACAAAAAGAGGAAAGATAAGCACATACAGATATACTCACACTTGTCGTGACCACTATCCAGGAACCAAGGAGTTTGTCCATTAATTCCAAGTCAGTGCTTATTCACTGAATGAAATGTCTCAAAAATAAGACATCATGGAAGAGAATCTAATATCCAATGCCATGATAGGGGAAAATCAACATTTTCACATCACTGTTTACTTTCATAACCTGTTGCAATATAATTTTTTTACTTCTTCTGATTCACATTTATTTTTACATCTTCAGGGTGGGCTCAGTAATTCTAATTCACATATATTAGCATAACATGCTAGTGAGATAACATGATTGCTGGCAATAAAAGAAGCAGTTAAAAGAAAAGCCAAAAATATCAACTCTCACTTGAAAAGAATTAAGAGTGATTTGTGGTTATAAACCATCAATTGAAGAGCAAAAGTAGTCTTCAGAATTTATTGATAGAAACAGACGTCTTCAGGTACAACACTGAACAAAACAGAGAGAATGGGCTGGGATGCTGATGACACTGGGGACTTCACCTGCAGTTACATTTCTTCACAGAGAACTAGCACCATGAGTTCTGAAATCACAGATTTGGTTATAATTGCTTCCAATATATAAAAGACTTTAGAAAGATTATTTAACTATCTATTAACAAAGCACTTCCAGAAACTTACTCTTTTTTAAAAAAATCATAATTTACTGTTTGAAATTGATGAAAATGGTTTGAAAATTGATCCCATCCTATAATCTGACAAAGAGAAAAAACCATAACTAGTTTTATGGGGAGGAAGTACCTGCTCCCCCTTCTGACCCCCACACAGGTGCAGAAAATACAATCTTACAATCTGTATGAACAAGAGCACATCTAAAACTGGTCTCAGAAAATACTTTTCCTAGACTATAAAAATACTAAGTGGAATATAAAAATTTCAGCATGTACAACAAAAGGACTACAGCAGACAAATATTGAAAACAGATAGAAAACTATCTTGTACCACAGTCATCGTGAACATCAAGTATTATTCCAATAGCTTGTGTCTGACTCACTGTTCCCAGACCCAAGCATTTTGTACAGGTCAAATTCTGTGTTTCTAGCAGAAGTTACCGGGGACACAACTGATGAGTAATTCCTGCTTGATGAAAAGCTGGATTTGTTCTCAAAGTGCTAAAAGTGCAACTGGAGTACAGACCGCTTTTTAGATCTGGAGTCGGCCAAGTATCATCTGAGGGTCAGACCTGCTTCCCTGTTGTGTACCACTGCTGAACACAGTCGCGCTTCTGTGGTTACGTCGCTGCATGCGCAGAGTGAAAGACAGGGGACCTCTTTGCCAGAAAAATCTAAAACACTTGCTCTCTGGCCCTTTACCAGAAAATTCTGTCAACTTCTATTTTAGTTAAATCACTTGAGGAAATTTTTCACTGAACATGGATATGGTAAGACCGCCTAGGATTAAGGACAGGTGGACCGAGGTGTGCTGAATCCACCATACCACACCATGGCAGGCCAAAAGACTACAAATTTGGATTGGCACCTGATATCAAGACACTATTCTGACCTTCCAAGTCTAGCTTTGTTAAAGTACCTTTTCCCTTCTCTATGAAGGGGCTTTTGTACACTAAATAACACATGTACCAGAATAGAGCAGAGCATTTACTTTTGAACCCAAACACCTATATGGCTCTCAAATGGGATTCCTAGGCATTAAAAATCACTATCAGGTTACCCTTAGCGATGGAAAGAATTCAAAGAGAACCTTTCCCATTTCTTCTGTACTGGAATAGACTTAAACGTTATACTGTGTACCATTCAGAAGCCTTCTCTGTGACACACATCATGATACTTAGTACTACTGCTCCCCAGGGCCATAAACATGTCCCTTTTGACAAAGTGGACCAAGTTTTCGAAGGGGCACATTGGCCTGTGAGAAAGTTTGTGGTGCTCCTGGCAGAAAGTGGTGTGGAACGTGACGTCAACACCATTGTAAAGAATCCGGACAGAATGCTCACCGGGTTTCTCTCTGTCTTGCCAGAGCTCAAAGATCAATCTGGCCACAAACCTGGGAAATCTGGCTTCCGTCAGGCCCAGGGCACTAAGAACTGGAGACAGAGTGACATCATGGGCAGAGTAGAGGGTGAAGATCTCTTCCCTCCTGCCTTCCGCAGCTCGTTGCATCCGGCCGATGGTCTGATTCAGGATAGGGTGGGCGCCCAGGAGCGCGTACCCAAGATACAGTTTCTTCTCCCTCCTCTCTTTCTCGTCCTCTATCTGGTGTGTCTTGATAACCTTAAAGTGCTCCATGTCAATGCAGCCGTTTCTAGTACAAGGGAAGCTGACGTTGTGGCAGAAGTGACAGAGCATGGAGTCTATGGGGTTGGAGGCTCGGAGCTGCTTGGTGGGGACGTCCACCACCTTGGCCATCTCCCCATAGGTCTTCTCCAGCTGGCTGTTTTTTAGACGCAAGAGGTACTGTCGACGCTGCTCTTTTTCCAGGTACTGGTTTCTCACCGGGCAGTAGCAGTTTCCGGAGCAGAAGAGAGCACTTGGCTGGTGCCTGAAATAGACCTTCTTCCAGTCAAAATCAGGGAGAAAGCCATAGAGCAAGGCCAGCCCGCTCTGCAGAGTTCGGCTCTTCCCTGTGGTCTCTAAGTAAAGGTGCTCTGTGGACCAGTCACTCGGCAGGAGTTTATGTTTCTTCTGATAGATGTCCCTCAGCAGCTGGCCATTCTGCAAATGCTGCACGATGCCTGAAACAGAAGAGAACGCAGAGCTCTCCTTACCACCAGCTCAGAGAGAAGAACAGCGAAGCCTGCGTGAGTCAGTGCCCAGCCCCGGACCACATCTGAGAGATGTGCAAAGTAATAGAACTGAACCCATCTGCCCACCACATAGAAGCTGCAAGACAGGTTCTCCAGCTTGTGAAGGGAGGGTCTGGGGAGTCTCCATGAAGGGACGAGTGGGCAGACAGAGTCCTCTTGATCCTGAACATCCTGCCTCCCTCCTGACTGGCTCCTTTACTGAGGAATGCAGCGCAGGGCTCAGAGCAGTCAGTGAGGTAAAAAGAAAAGAGCCTTGTAGCTTCTTATAGCTGGGGTGCTCCCTAAGGGGCTTCCTCGCCCTGTGCTGCCTAACGGAAGGCTCTCTGCAAACTCAGGCACACAATGATTAGCCACAGAGGTTCTGCCAACAAGGATGCTCGCTCGCTCGTGTGCTTTCTCTGTCTGTCTGTCTCTGTCTCTGTCTCTCTCTCTCTCTCCTGATAAGGAACCATTTCCCAGATAGATTACTTGAAAAAAGCAAAGTGCACATAGTCCATTGAATATGCTCTAGTTAAATGAAAAAGAGGAAAGATGAAAGTATATCTGCGATTGTGTTTTGCTGTGGATTGAATTGTGACCCCTCCCAGCACTAAAACATGGGTGGTAAATTCTCTGTGCCTATGGTATTTTATCTAATTTGGGAATTGGCTTTTTTTTTTGTTATGCCAATAAAACAGGATCAGTGTGTTTTAAATCAATCTCTAACTCTTTTCTATCTCTTCTGAGATATAAAAGAGAAACATCTCTGGTATATTCACACAATGGAATTACTACACTACATTGAAAAACAAGGAACTCATGTAATATTATTCAATATGGGTGACCCTGGAGTATATTATACTGAGGGAAATAGCTCAGTCACAAAAGGACAAATACTGTATGGTGCCACTGGTGTAAAACAGGACTGACATCGGGGTTGGGGGGAGACTGGAAAGATGGGAATAAATAATGTATACTGCATTGAAACAGATGAGGGAGAGAACTGTTTAAAAGGGATATGTGATTAGGTATTATTGTCATGACAGGAGTCCAGAACGAAGGCTACATAGTGGAATGGACATGAGGGGAGGGACTGTAAAACACTGAAAGTTTTTCTTTTACTTTTCAAACAGAAGAGAGAAGTGGGCGGAAGGGTGGGCAGGGAGAAAAGTGCAACAGTGAATGACCGGAAACCCCAAGTCTCTGTAAACTTTCATTAAAATTAATTTTTTTAAAAAGTGACTTGAATTTGTTTAGAAATCAAATGTTTCATTAGATACCCTGGTGGACTTAGTTCCTCAAGGCAGGAGTCAGTCTTGATTCCCTGCTTTGAACATCATGGCGTCTAATGGCCTTACATGAAGTATCCACCCTGCCCATGCCACGTGGAGGTGAGGGAATGGCTGCTGCACTTACCTGTCTGCGTGAGCTCTCCCATCTCACACAGGGGGTGATTAGGGTAGAGAGGCAGGGAATGCAGGGGGCTTTCGAAGGAGGCTCCAGACCCTTTTGACATGTGACTGACAAAAGCTTCCAGTTTAGGATGAGATGGTTTTCTGGAGAGAAAACACAGAGAATCAGGGTCCAAGTGCTCTATAAAAGTCCACTTATGTTAGAAGAATTGTAACCCTTAACACAGACGTAATAGCACAGTTCCCAACCTCAGCAAGCCCTACGTGTGACCAAGTCTCTGTCTCTCTCTCTCACCAGAACAGGTCACTTTTCATTATTATCCTTCACAAGGCTCTTGGTTCTGGCGGATTCAGCTCTGCCCTCCAGCGTCCTATTCCAATCTCTCCCACCTCCTGCAAATAGCCACTAACACCTCAGCTGGGAGCTGTTCTGAATTTCTTTTTTTAAATTTTTTTTTATTGTTTTAAATTTATATCGCAACAAAGTTTTTTTTTTATTTTATTTAAATAGCATTCAGTTTATTACAAATATTTAGTATTGGCTTCCCATATTTCCCCCCTTTTGTTTTTATCATAATTATGTTATTATCTAGATGAGCATCCTTTATGCACAAATTAAATATAATAAACTCAAAGAAATACTTTCAAAAATCTCCATATGATCAGAAGGATTCAGGTTAGTCCTTGAAAGTATGTTTTAATTGTCCCATTGCCACAGTGCTTGTCACAACCAGTTCTGATTAATCTCCTTTGTCAGTGTGTCCTTTGCCATTCCCTATCACTCCTCCCTGAGAGAGACTTCACCCTGATTCATAAGGTTCTGTTGGATTCAGCTCTGCCCTCCAGCGTCCCGTTCAAGCCTCTCCCATCTCTTGCATGCCTTATCGAAACAGCCACTAATACCTTAGCTGGGAGCTGTTCTGAATTTCTCCCTAACATCCTACGTCCATGCCAACCACCTCCCAGTAACACCAGCCTTTCCTGCAATTTCCCCTTCCTGCTCCCCTTCATCCCAACATCTACGAGCTGTGGCCTCAAGCAGTTTTCCTGCTTGGTGTCAGGAGACTTCTGACGGGCCCTCCTGCTTTTAATCTTACCTCCTCCACAGCCAGGTGGAGCTACCTGCACGTGTGATCCACGGCTGCCCTTCCAGCATCTCCATCTGTCCAGGAGCCCCAGACATCTACCTCCCCTGCTGCTCTCCACATGCATCCATCCTCAGTGCTGGGGACCCTGAAGATCTGGGCCCACCTCACTGTGCTAGCTCACCTCTCACCAGCCTCCCCACTCCAAAAAAGTGCACTGGCCACGTGGAACCAACATGTTCCTATCCCTGGCACAATGTGAACTCTGCAGAGTCCCTGGGTGGTAAAGATGGTGCCACGAGTTTGTCTGCTAATCGAAAAGCTGGAGGTTTCAGACCATCAAGAGGCAATTGGAAGAAAGTTCTGATGATCTGAATAAAAAAACACCCACTGGAAATCCTATGGCAAGCACTGCTATCCGGTCACATGTGGGTCATCGTGGGTTGAAGCTGCCAAGCGGCTGGAGTTGATGTGACAGCATTTCTGCACATACAATGTCTCATTTAATGTGGGCTGGTAATGTTGTTGTTGTTACATGCCATCAAGTTACCTGTGACCCATCGCGACCCTATTTACAACAGCTCTGAAGCCTGCCCTGGTCTGAGCCAGTCTCACCGACTCCCAATACACTTAGCCCCATGGCCCTAGATACTGTATCGAGCCATCTCATCTGGGGTCTTCCTCTCCTGCACTGTCCCTTCACCGTTTCAAGCATGATATCCTTCTCCCAGGATTGGCCCCTCCTGGCCACATGCCCAAAGTTATGTGAGACAGCTTCAGAATTCTAGCCTCCAAAGAGAAACTTGGTTTTATCCTAACCCCATTTTCTCTGAATAACGAAATGATCTGTGCATGAAGGCACATTTTCCAGGTGAACACGACTGGACAGAGACAACAGTTTTCAAGCAAACGGCGTAAAAATTAGCATAAAAAGCCAAGACAGATTGAGCTAATGCAGCCCCCTATTATGTAAAAGCCCCATTATCTAGGGCAATGCTTTTTAAAAACACAGCCAGGATGTCTTTACTGTCCTTAAAAACCAGAAAGTTTTTTTGGGGGGAAAATCCATCTCTTAAAGCACATGTTTGAAAACTGGGGAATACTAATAATCCTGGCATGAAATCCAGGTTAAGAAATCATTCTGGATTGCTGCAGGGAGCTATTTCTTTCCACAAAAACACAGGGCCTATTATTTTGCCTGGAGCTAAAACACATAAATGTTTGCAAATTGAGAAATGAAAATTCCAGGCTGATCATGAGGCTACCAATATGAACTGCCTTCGACAAAGGGCCGTCTGTCACCTGAAATCAAGAGTGCTGCAGGTCATTAGTACGGGCTGGCAATGTCTAACGCTCTGAGAAAGTCTTGCTGTCAATTTTACCAGTGGAACTGCATTACTGAACATGTTGGCTGAAGTATTCAGGGCATCTGACTGCTTAATATTGCTCTGATATCTAACTGTATTCATTCAACTCTGTTCTTTTTTTTTTTTTTTTTGGAGGGTACAGGGAAGGTGAAGATTCACTGGAGTGAAGAAAACATCACTTATAGAATAGAGAACAAAGGTGGTTATCTTTGAGGACCAATGAACATGAGCCCTGGGTCTGTCCTGGAGCCTGGTCGGTACCCAGCACATGGCTTCAACTCACTCACTGCCAGTCAGGACTGACTCATCGCTGACCCTCTGGTATGCTTTTGAGGTGGCAAATCGCATGGGAAGAGACTGGCAAACTTTCCTCTCAAAGTGCTGCTGGTGGATTTGAACTGTCAGAGAGGTGAACCCTCCGAGTCCATGGTACAGTTCCCTGTGCCACCAGAACTCCCTAGCACATGGTCAGTATTCCCAAAACATGTGTTCATGAATTCAGCTGTGAAGTGACTTGTTCTTGGTTGCTTCATGAACTGACGTACCTTCTAGAATCTGTAGTAAGGGATACAGCAAACTAAATTAAAAGACATATTGCGATGGGAAAGTCTGCTGTTAGGGACCTCTCCAAAATACTGAAGAGCAATGGTGTCTCTCTTGAGAATAAGGTGTGTCTGACACCGGCCATGGTCTTTGCAATCACTTGTTATGCATCAGAGAGTTGGACAATGATGAAGGAGGATAGAAAGAGAATTGATGCCTTTGAGCTATGGTGCTGGAGAAGAGTATTGAATGTACCATGGACTGCTAGGAAAACAAACAGATTCATCTTGGAAACGGTTAAACCGGGCTGCTCCTTGGAGGCAAGGATCCTGAGGCTTCATCTGACATACTTTGGACATGTTGTGAGGAGAGACCGGTCCTTGGAGAGGGACATCATGCTTGGGAGGGTGGAGGGACAGCGCAGGAGGGGAAGGCCCTCTATGAGGTGGAATGATTCAGTGACTGGGGTAATCGGGATGGGTGTAGCAGAGATAGTACGACTGGCACAGGATAGAGCAGAGTTTAGGGCTGTTGTACATAGGGTCGCTATGAGTCGCAAGCGACTCGACGGCACATAACAACAACAACAACAACAATTTTTAAATGCCAGTAAAAACAAAAAACTACTTGTTGTCAGATCACCTAGGACCCCACTGCTCTGCTCTGTTTTCACGGCCGTGATATTTTAAGAGCATACAGACACACCTTTGTTTTGTGGTGCCTCTGGGTGGGTCACAACTGCTCACCTTTGGGTTAGCGGTCAAGTGTGTAACTGTGCACCACCCAGGAAGCACAGCAAGTTACAACAGTATTTAGTAATTTGGTGGCCCAGTGGTAAGGAACTGCTCTGTCAACCTGAAGGCACATGGTTCGAATCTGCCTGCTACTCTGGAAAAAAAGATGGACAGTCTCCTCCTGTGTGATTAATACCTCTGAAAACCCACTGGAGGGTCGGCTATGGGTTGGTCACAGCTCAGTGGTGCAGAACAACATCATCATCCAGATTTTGGTGAAAAGATTAAAAAATAAAAGGTGTTGTGGTTGAGAATTTGAGTAGTCTGCTAACATCTTTTTGCCTCTTCAGCCTGGGAAGTGGTTTGGATCTCAATTCCTAGGTCTCAGAAGTTAGCCAAGGAATGTGGATGGTATAGCGCATTACAGCTGGGCAGCTAGTGGAAAAGTCAGGGGTTCAAATCCACCAGCTTCCCTGGGGGAGGATGGGCAGCCTCCTCCCATTTAAGTTAACAGGTCCAGAGGGTTAACAAGGGATAAAACGGAATTCACAGCTAGGGCTTTGATCAGTAGTTAGGCAGAACCCACAACTAAAGGTTTCTGAGTGGAAAACCAGCTTTAAGTTACTTAAGCTTTTTCTTTTTTAAATTTATTTTATTTCCAGATGCTCTGCCAGAGAAGGAGGGGCCATCTCCTCCTGTACCAGTCAGATCCAATTTGACGGTACACACACACACACACAAAATAATAAAATAAAATTTTTTTAAAAAAATTATTTTTTCTGGGGTGTGTACTGTCAAATCAGATCAGACTGAAACAGGAGGAGAGGAAGTCATCTGGTGGATTCGAACCATGTGCCTCTGGGATTGTAGTACAGCTTCTTGCCACTTAGCTACCAGAGCGCCCTTAAGTTACTTAAGCTTTGAGACCACTGACAAACCCCCTTGCACATTCTCTTTCTTCCCCCTAGCCACCATTCAGGGGTGGCAGGAACTAAGGTTTAATCTATGTAGACATCACAGGGGATGGTGGGGGCAACCAACCTGAAGATGGAGACAGGAGGGACATCCCCCCAAATTCATGTGGAGCAGTCAGCCAGGACACTCATCTCATAGCTTCATACAGGGAGAGGAAATACCTCTTTGCTAAGGATTCTGGGGCTTCATGTGACATACTTTGGACATGTTGTAAGGAGAGACAGGTCCTTGGAGAGGGACATCATGCTTGGGAGGGTGGAGGGACAGTGCAGGAGGGGAAGACCCTCTATGAAGTGGATTGATTCAGTGACTGGGGTAATCAAGATGGGTGTGTCAGAGGCAATGCGATTGGCACAGGACAGAGCAGGGTTTAGGGCTGTTGTACATAGGGTCGCTATGAGTCGCAAATGACTCGACGGCACATAACAACAACAACAACA